ACCCCAACCCAAAACTTTAGCCTGGCTAACTCCTGTTCAGCTCTCAGGTACCCCCAACCCATCACTTCTGGGAGGCTTTTCCTGACCACCTCTGCCTTTGGGTTCTGTGTCCCTCCTAAGCAGTCTACAGCATCCTGTACATGCCTTATCAGAGCATCTGCCCACCACCCTGGATGACAAACACCTCCACATACTTGTGCACGTCTCACTGCACTGCAGGGTCTACAGGGGCATGCCTCTCTTATTAGTCAGATCCTCTAAGTTCAGAAAGCACAAAGCAGAAAACAAAACTTGGGTAACTATTAGCTGAATGATTTAAAGCTGAATGAGAACCGATTTCCCAGAGCAATGTTTGTGTAGGATAGTAGAGGCCAAGCCCCAGAGTGCTAGGAATCCACGCCATGGAGTTTGGACTTAACCTTCCGGCAACTGTGGCAAGGGTGGAGGTGGGGAATGACAAATTCTGAAGCTTCAGAATAACATTCCAAGTAGTAATTTTTTGCAGAGGGAGTGAGACACATGGCTTGCGGGATTTTAGTTCCCCAACCAGGGATTGAACCCTGGTCCTTTGCACTGAAAGTGCCAAACCCTAACCACTGGACCACCAGGGAATTCCCACCAAAGTAGTATTTTTAAGAGAACCCTAGAAAGGGGACAATGTTTTAATAGTTCACGATGAAAGCCTCAACTACAGTGGTAGGAACAGGAAGAGAAGGAAAGGACAAACATAAAAGTATTAATGGACAGCATGGAACAAGAAAAGGAAGGGACTGGGAGGAGCTCCAGGATTGAGGGCTGGGGTGGTAACTGATGACACTCTCACATGTCAAAAGGCTAATGCTGCTATCATATGATGAAAAACCTTAAAGAAGAGGGCAATTAAAAATTTTTTTCAGTATTATTTATAATAGAAAAAGACGCAGAAACAATCTGTGTTCATCAGTGAATGAATGGATAAAAAAAGTGTGATATACTATATATATAACGGAATATTATTCAGCCACACACAAAAGGAAATCCTGCCATTTGAAACAGCATGGGTGGGCCTTGAGGGCAACATGCTAAGTGAAATAAGTCAGACAGAAAGACAAATACCATATGATCTCACTTACATTTGGAATCTAAAAACAGAAACAAATGTGGTGATGGATGTTAACCAGACTTACTGTGATGAGCATTCCACAATATATACTGATATCAAATTATTATGCTATACATCTAACACTAATATATGCTGATCATATCTCAGTTTTTAGATCTAAAAATTATAAACTTCATAGATTATATACCCTGACATTTATTTAACAGAAAATACAAAACTAGAGCAGTGTGACACTCCCCATCCCCCAAAAAAGAGTCCTTCTAAAGCTCACATTCTCATCACTTGATTTATGTAAATATCATTTGTCCTGTTAACCACACAATCAGGCAATTCCTGCCTGTGGGATGGAGTCTGGTAAGTAAAAACAGGGCAGAGTGTTCCAAACACTCTTGGAAAAAAGGCCTGGTGTGTTCACAGAAAGACAGCCGTGTGCCACACGAAAGGGGCAGGGAGGGGGCGATGTTGTGTGTCTGTGAACAGTGGGAAGCAAGGATGCAGTGTGTGGCTGAGGATTTCTCGCCATGTACAGACTTTCATTACCAAACCTAATAAATGACAGACGTGCTTCAGAAAATCAATATTCTAAATGGCACCATTTAAGAGCAGCTATTTCAGAAGCACGACCCGGCATACTGAGTCCATCTGCTTTCCAACTAGCTATTCGGCAGGACGCGCTCCTGATTCAAACGTAAGTTGCTGCGGTCTCACACACCGAGCAGCCCGACACCAGACACGTGGAGGAAGGTCATCAAATAGAAAGTTTCCAAGCACAGTGGCCGCTCAACCGCTCAACTGGCTGCTCCTTCAGCTGCTTCTACTGCTCAAGAGTAGCTCCCGATTAGCAATGTGCCTCATGAGGACATGTGTTTTATTTCTGATATCAAACTGGACCAGCATCAAGGGAGGAAATTGCTCAATCGAAAACCAAAGGGGAGTGTGAGCACCCACTGACAATGAGAAAACCAAGGCCAGATAAGGTACAGAGAGGATCTTTTTTCTAGAAAAGCATCAAGAACACCTACATCTGATAAACCCATCATCTGTTGAAGATTCTAAGCTGAAAATGCACTTACATACATAACCCTCCAAACATCATAGCTTAGCCCCTCACCTACCTTACATGTGAGCAGAACACTGACATTAGCCTATTATTTCAGCAAAATCATCTAACACTAAGCTTTTTTTTAATAATAAAATGTTGACTATCTCATGTGATTTATTGAATACTGTCCCAAGAGTAAAAACAGAATGGCAGTGTGGGTCCAGAGTGGTTGTCAGTGGTTGTTTCCCTCATGATGGCGGCTGAACAGAAGCTGCGGTTCGTTGCCTTTGTCCAGCATCACGAGAAAGGATGGTACTGCATATTGCCTGCCCAGGGAAAGATCAAAATTCAAAGTACAATTTCTGCTGAATGCTTACTGCTTGCATATCATCATAAGTTGGGGACATGTGTATTCTACAATCCAAGGCCATTCAAGAGCCATCACACCCAGAGACTGTCTCTGTTAACACCCAAACAGTACTGCCCAATGAACAAACTCCACATGAGTTACATGGTCTCACGTTACCTGGAACTTCTTCTTACCCAGGACGATTTAGTCACCACAGGTCAGCCTACCCCGTACCGAGGCTATTATTTTTCAATAAAGCCCAATAGAGTTTAGGAAGGTCAGAGATGAGACTCTTCCTACCCTTTTCAACAACAGTATTGAATAATCTATCAGATGAAACTTGAGTGTAGATCTTATTATTTCACAATGAAAAGAGAGAATCATTCTCTCATAAAGAAAAAAATTCCTCAACCCTTATTTGCCTCACAATATTCCTGCTTTTCATGCTCTGTTTGCAAAAGGTGTGCCCTGAGGAATGGTTAAAGAGCTGGCGACTCCTGGCAGTGATGAAAGCATATTTGTTTTGGTTATTAATTCCTTAACAGCAACAGAAGTCACCTTGAATGTAGACAGTTAACCTACTTGACAGACGGGGTCAGTGGTTTGTAATAAGTCCTGTGGTTACATAAACAGGGAGGCAATTTTTTATATGATGGATTGATGAAGCCTTGAAATTGCTATGAAGATTTTCCCTCTTACTCTTCAGCTGTCCCTTAGGAGCAAAACCTCTTGGCAGTTTAGCAAAATATAAAGAAACAAAAACTTATAAACAAATACTGGAAGTGAATGTAGACCAAAAAGAATGACTGCTATAAAATACAAAACCAGCAAAATCTTAAATGAGAATAGTTTCACAAATAAGGAGGCCTATCTTTCCTAAGTGAGAGCTGACTCATCTGGACAGTGGAGAAGAAGATGAGAAAGTGCATCGCTTTATGGGTTAACTAAGAATGCTTGAGTAGAAGCTATGATGCCCCTCTGGTCTTCAGTAGAACCCCGTCTTAGCTGGCAATTAATGAACAAACTCCTGCCAAGTGGAAGGCAGGCTAAGAAAAAAAGCTGGATATTGTTTCATACTTGTATCCTGGTGTCCAAAGAAATGGCTCAGCACTTTGTCTATCTGAATAGACCCAATCATGGAAACAGGGAAGGAAATCTAGCCACTGTTTCTTATGTAATGAACTGAGAAGAAGAACTCGTTTACATTTTCAACAGTCAAGACCAGGACATTCTGTTCTGCGTCCATGTAAGAAATTATAAACGTCCTAGGGAACTGAGAGGAGCGTCATGTGCTCACTGGCACTGAGTCTGAACTCATCTTTGTTGAGTGGACCTAAGGCTAACATAGGTGGTTTCAGAAATCAAAATCTTGCCATGTGTGACATGGACAAATCAAGGATGCAATTAACCCTAAACTGTCCTATTCTTTTTCCAGAACATTTTAGTACTCTTCAAAGGAACAGGAAAAGTCAGCAGTTCTGCCAAAGTTAAATTCATATTTTAACCTAGAGAACATTAACCCGGGTGGCAACATACACAAAGGCATTCTGCCACTTTCCTGGCATGCTCTGTAAGAAAAATGTCTTCCTTTGCCATCACTTTCTGAAACAAATTATAAAGTAAGTTTTCTTGAAAAAAGATTTCATCTTTCCTTAAACTGAATTCTAGAAAGCAACACCCATGATAGATACTTAATATACCTAGGACTGCCCAATACATAATAAATGGAAACAAGGAACTGATTTTTGGATAAACTATAATTATTCTTATGTCTATAGATCAAAAGTGTGCAGACCTCAAGCCTTGAACTATATGTAGACTTGGACTAGATTCCAACAAACAGGTATATATAAAAATGTAAAAATATAACAATGGGTTCCAGGTAACCACATGGCCACACAAGAAAATCCAAAATAGTCAATTCATAGTATGAGATAGAAAAGTACCTAATAAAAGGAAAAGATTCTCCCAGTATACTGATAAACAAACAGGTTACCAAAAAAGCATCAAGAAAAATTAATTTTTATAAAAATGTACATGACTATGTGTGTGCATGTACACATGTGTGAACATACTTATTAGCACGTTTTGTTTCAGAAAAATAAAACCAAAACCATGAATAGAAGGCTATAATAAAACCTTAACAGTGGTTAATGATGGGTAGTAGGATTATGAATAATTTCTATTTCTTCTTTTGCTTACCCTTATTTTATAAATTTTTAAAAATTAATATGTGTTACTTCAGTATGAGAAAAATAAATTTTACATTTCAAAATAAACTTACAGAAATACAAATTAAGAGTACTGAAACAGATATTTAAGACTTGTTTCTCCTTCCTCGCCCTAATGAAAATACCTTCTCTGGAACTCTCTGTATAAACCTTCAGTGATCCAAAGACATGGTGGTATCCTTTCTTCCATTCTACAATGAAGGACTGGTAACTGTATGTTGAAGACAGATTCAAAGAAAAAAAGGAAAAGCCAACCATCAGAACCTCTCTCCCTACCTGGGCGTAGCGTAAGAGCTTCTCGGTGGCCTCAGGGTCTCTGTTCCAGATGAGGTCCTCACAGAGCTGGAGAAGCTCCTTGTGGATGTCATCATATACAGGAAGGCTTCCAGCATTCACTATTCCCATGTCCATACCAAACTAAGGGCAATAAAAAGAAAAATAAGGATTTCCAGCGATACTCTAAACCAGGGATCAGTGACTCTTTCTGTGAAGGACCAGATAAAAAAATACCGTAGGCCACTGCCTCTGTCACAAGCACTCAACTCAACTCAGCAGAAAAGCAGTCATAGACTGAATGCAAGTGCGAGCGGGTGGCTTTGTTCTAATACAGCTTTATTCACAGAGAAACGGCAGCAGACCAGGTGAGCTTGTGGGCCACGGTCTGCAAACGCTGGCCCTAAGTAAAGGCTGGTGTCCAAGGCAAACAGGGCCCCCCACTCTACCTTGATTGCATGGTACAGGAAGACCCCGTGCATCGCCTCCCGAATGGCCTCCATCCCTCGGAAGGAGAAGGACAAGTTGGACAGACCACCGCTGACTTTGGCTCCAGGCAGCGTTTCCTGGAAAAAATTTAAATATGAAAGGATTTCCCTAGTGTGCCAAAAGCAGCAATCCTGTTCCTTAAGCTTTTTAAAGTAAGAATGGAAAGTAAAAAAATATATAAAGTCCAAAGTAATTCAGAGCTTCTTGTAACTAGGCACAGACCACAACTTGCATATCAGGGAGACACGAAAGCAGTGCTTCACTGTTTTTCCTACTATGACCTCCCTAAGGGAAAAGAAAATCTTCCGCTTTGTCTCTGTGCACTCTATAGCAGCCGTTCTGTGGCTACAAACGCAGTGAGTGTGACATAGAGTATCTGCTGACCAGGGACTTCCCCGCTGGCTCAGCGGTTCAGACGCCGAGCTTCCGCTGCTGGGGGCAGGGGTCCAATCCCCGGTTGGGGAACTAAGGTCCCGCATGGTGCAGCTAAATACATATATATATACACACACACACAGACACACATCTGCTGGATAAATAACAGAAAAAGAAACAGTGAGAGATAACAAAAGGAAAACCAGAGAGGACAGAGAGAAGTTGGTTATTCACTGAAAGCATGAGCTACTAGAAGGCTTCTATAGCCTAAATGAACAAACTCCCTAGTTCACTATAAACTTGACTAATTTTAAAAGGACAAAAGGAAACTAAGGTCCCCACCACATCTTATGACATATGAAGCATTAGTTCGCATGTAAAACAGGAATTCTTAATCCCTGTTAGATAGGGTACAAATTAGTTCAAGCATTTTGGAGCGATAGCTGCCTTTATCTACTACTGGAACTCAACCCTTCCACTTCTGGATATATGCTACAAGGAAGCTCATGAAGAGATATATACAAGAAATGTATACACACAGTTTTGCTCATAACTTGCCCAAACTGGAAACAAACCAAGCATATGTCAACCACAGAACAGTTAATTATCGAAAAGGTAAATGATGGAATATTATACATTAGTAAATTGAACAAAAAAACTGAACAATGAACAAAGCACAACTACAACACAGGTGGATCTTTAAAGTGAGACTGGGTAAGGAAAAAGGCATAAGGATCTTAAGATTCTGTTTAAATTAACATGAAGTTCAAAAATGTGCAAAACTAACTATACTATTTCTACAGTGAATTCTCGCTATTTGTGGTCCTTACGTTCCATGAAGTCCCTGCAAACACTGAACTGGGGGATGCTAAAAACCACTGCTCGCACAGGAAATGCAGGGTCAGGTTTGTGAAACTCTGATCACAAAACCGTCATCACTGATCAGCATATAACCCTGTTTTCTACGTTTCTGTTTTCTCCATGAAGCACATCACAGCCTTTGTGCACGCAGGGACACAGGACAGCACCTCAGCACAATGCATAGGCCATTCAAATAGAGAACTCAATCAGCAAAAAAAAAAAAAAAGCTCAAAAACATGAAAAATGTGGTACTAAACAGACCATGAAAAGGGTGTCTGTTTACAGAATGAGGGCTGAACCCAAGGGTGCAGGGCATGCTTCTGATGACTCATCTGGATCACAGGGGTCAGGCACTCAGTTTTCACCACTCTGCACGTGTGCGTGCCCGTGAATGACTGCAGAAGAACCGTGAATACTGATTTTGGAGTCACAAATAATTTTTTTTTTAAATAATTTTACTTATTAAATTTCTGGCTGTGCTGGGTCTCTGTTGCTGCTCGGGCATTCTCTAGGTGAACGGAGGCTACTCTTCATTGCAATGCATGAGCTTCTCACTGTGGCGGCCTGTCCTGTCGCTGAGCACGGGCTCTGGGGTACACGGGCTCCAGACGCTGCAGTACATGGGCTTAGTAGCTGCAGCTCCTGGGCTCCAGACCTTAGGATCCACAGCTGTGGGGCACCGGCTTTGCTGCTCACCAGCATGTGGAATCTTCCTGGATCAGTGATCAAACCTGTGTCTCCTGCATTGGCAGGCAAATTCTTTACCACTGAGCCATCAGGGAAGCCCACAAATAAATTTCAGTGAGTAGGTGAATTTGCAAATAAAAAACCCAGGATAATTCGGACTGTGTATACAGAAGCGTTAAAATTATATAGAAGAGCAACAAGTAGTACCATAAAACTCAGAATGAGGGCATAATCAGAAAGGAAGAGACACAGGGGCACTTTCCATTTTCTATTTCAGGTCCCAAGTGGAAGCTATTATATATATGCCTCATAATCATTTATCAAACCCTGTATCTTTTATATATCCCCCAGTGTGTGTGTGTGTGTTTTACATCACAATATAAAATAACATAGAAAAAAATTTTAAAAGCCCCTGAATTTCAGAAAACTAATTTGCTACAAGAATAAGAATGTCAATATTCCTTGCCAATAAATATATATGTGAGCTCAAGTTATTCACTGAAGCCATGTGATAAATCTAAGCAATGTCTTGGGTAGAAAGGAGAAAAATGTTCATACTTACTTTGATGACTTTTGTTGCATTGATAAAATTAACAGCATACATGTTATGTTCTTCCATCCCAGTACCAATGGTGAGGATATTAGGGTCAAAGATGATGTCATTTGGATTGAAGCCCAGTTTTTTCACAAGGAGATGGTAGGCCCGGGTGCACACTCTGATTTTGGTATCTGTTTCTGTTGCCTGGGGAAGGGGTAAAAGATGTAATTTGAAATAGAAAAATGAGGTGTTATCTATGAAAATGGAAGGACCATTCATTTGTCAAAAGCACTTAAGTACCAATGCTTGGATTTTATAGAAATCCAAATGCCAAGCAGCCTTTAAACATTTATCAAATTATCTCATCGAGGAGGAATTGGTTTCAAGTCCCTTTATGTTTTCATCCACACAACAGCTATAATGCTTCTGTAAAAATCAAATCTCACATATGTAAAAATCAAATCTCACAAAAATCAAATATACACACATATGGTATATTAATAAATAGGTTTCTTAAAAAACACAAGTGATAAGAATTCAAATAAATTACAAAATTAGCGCCCCTCCTCTCTGGACCTGCCTGCACTGTCACCCAGGCTTTCTTGGACCTTCCTATAGTAAATCTATATAGACTCAAAGACGTGCATTACCCACCTCCAACCCCACCCATCACAGCATTAGCTAATATATTTCAAAACAGTGACCCTAGGAAGCCAAGCACTGACTCCAGCAAGGCCCAAACCCCCACTGTTTCCTATCCCTCAGAATCAGGTCCCACACCTCCAGTTTTAAGATTTTATTTTTACAGAAGCAGTGTAGCTGTTGTGCTGATGAAAACATCTCCCCCTCATCTACTCCACTCTCCCCACACCACTCCTTTGATGTTCCTGAGACCCACCAAGCTTGTCTTCCCTCAGGGCCTTCCTATCCATTGCTGCCACTAACCGGAACACACTGACAAGGCTTTGTGATTCACAGCACAGCACGCAGGCCTCTGCACAAATGTCCCCTTTTCAGAGAAGCCTTAATCACGATCTCTAAACCAGTTCCACCACCGCCTTTTCTGCCTCCTCTACCCCTCTTCATAGCATCTCTCCTCCTAGAAATTATTTCCCACGTAACAGAAAAACCTGAATGAACTTTCTAGTCAACCCAATATATAATTTGGCATCTTGTTTATTGTTTTTTTACTTATTTTATTATATATGATTAATAGGACTAGAATCAGTCTTGCTGTACCCCCAGAGCCTAGAGCAGTGCCTGCCAGAGGATGTGCTCAATGTTTCTGCTGAATGGATGAATGTACCTGTGACACAGAGCATTTCTGAACTTGGTCAGGGAAACTGTCTTCAGGTCAAATTTACAATTTCAGTGCAAGGCTTATTCAATGAATTACATGCTGAATGATTTCTGGTTGCAGAAAAAACCAGATTTGCTCTAAAGAAAAAATGAATACTTGCTAGCACTACAGAAGTTCCGAAAAAAGAAGTAACATACAATTCTGAGTAAATATGCAAAATGTTTTTGAAAAATGGCGAATACCACTGAACGAAGTGCTGAGTCTTCCAAGCTAAGTACTTGGAGGCAGGATCCCTTGACTGGATGTGAGTGCTGAGTGGTCAAGTATCAGTTCCTGATCACACATATCTTCACCTCTAAGGGGAGCTCTCCAGGGGCCCACAGGGAGAGGGGGTGAGGAGGATACTCTATGCAGTTCAAGGACATTTAGTGAGGCCCTATCTCCAGAAAAAGGCATGGTATTGTTGCTGTTATTCAGTTGCTCATTCATGTCTGACTGCAACCCCGTGGACTGCAGCACACCAGGCCTCCCTGTCCCTCACCATCTCCTGCAGTCTGCCCAAGATCATGTTCATTGTATCGGTGAGCCGTCCAACCATCTTATCCTCTGATGCCCTCTTCTCCTTCAGCCCTCAATCTTTCCCAGCATCAAGGACTTTTCCAAACAGTCATCTGTTTACATCAGATGACCAAAATACTGGAGCTTCAGCTTTAGCATCAGTCTTTCCGTTGGAATATTCAGAGTTGATCTCCCTTAAGATTGACAGGTTTGATCTTTCTGTCCAAGGACTTTTACGAGTCTTCTCCAGCACCACAGTTTGAAGGCATCAATTCTTTGGTGTTCTGCCGTCTTTACAGCCCAGCACTCACACTGTATGTGACCACTGGGAAGACCATAGCCTTAACTATATGGGCCTTTGTTGGCAGAGTAATGTCTCTGCTTTTCAAGACACTGTCTAGGTTTGTCCCTGTATGGAACAACTGACTGGTTCAAGATGGAGAAAGGAGCACGACAGGGCTGACTACTGTCACCCTGTTTGTTTAACCTGTAAGCTGAGCACATCATGAGGAGTGCTGGGCTGGACGAGTTACAAGCTGGAATCAAGACAGGCAGGAGAAACATCAACAACCTCAGATATGCAGACAATACCACTCTAATGGCAGAAAGTGAAGAGGAACTAAACAGCCTTTTGATGAAAGTGAAGGAGGAAAGTGAAAGAGTCGGCTTAAGACTAAATATTAAAAAAAAACTAAGATCATGGCAACCAGTCCCATTACTGCATGGCAAATAGAAGGGGAAAAGGTGGAAGTAGTGACAGATTTCCTCTTCTTGGGCTCCAAAATCACTGTGGACAGTGACTACCGCCATGAAATCAGAAGACAACTGCTTCTTGACAGGCAACGCATAGTGGGGGGAACGTTCAAAACACTCGCTCAGATCTAGGCTTCTGACTGCTCACCTACCTTGGTGTTCTTTCACAGCTGGTCCTGTTGGTCTCTAATCTCTCCCTGTTCCTGTGGCTGCTCAGGCTAGAATTCACCTCCTGCTGGGATGTGACTTAGCAGATCATGGAGCCCAGGGAAAGGACCAAAGGAGGGGGCTCTGTAGCCCCACTGCTCCAGGCTTTAGGGAAGGTGGCAGACTCTCATCTTCCTTAACTGAATGTCTTCAACAACTTCTTACCTCTCCCTTCAGTTAGTGATAAAGTTAAGGTTAAAATCAACATGTGGGCCCAGAAGAAAGTGGTCAGGAGCAGGTCACCTAGGGCTACCTTTTCATCTTGGGCTTCAGTTATCTGTTCACCAGAGGGCCAAACAGAGGTCTAGGTTCTAGGCTAATGGCCCAGCTAAGCTCATTAACCGAGAAGGAACAGGGGTTTGAGACTACCAGTGCTGTTATTATTTCACAGTGACCTAGTTGGGTTGGTGAAGTGAAGTGAAAGTTGCTCAGTCATCTACAACTCTTTGCGACTCCATGGACTATACAGTCCATGGAATTCTCCAGGCCAGAATACTGGACTGGGTAGCCTCTCCCTTCTTCAGGGGATCTTCCCAACCCAGAGATCAAACCCAGGTCTCCTGCATTGCAGGTGAATTCTTTACCAGCTGAGCCACAAGGGAAGTTGGGTTGGTAGGTCCTGGTCATTTCTTTCATCTGAGTCATGAATCCATCACTAGGTCAGAACTGAAGCAACAACCATCAGCTCCATAAGAATGAGGCCTTTTCAAATTGTTCTCCCAACACCTAATATGCTACCTGCCACATTAACAGAAAGCAACTACCATCTGTTGAATAAACAAGCAAATTTCAGAATGCACAGATTTGCAAAGGACAGGCCTTCACCATAAGCATATCAAGCTAGATTCTCCAAGATTCCCTCTGTCCTGCTCCTCAGCCAAGGTGGTGACACAAACATGCTAATGAGCCTCAAGGCTTGAGGGTTTTACAGATCCAGACGGCTCTCAACTCTGCTGGCACATCTGAGTAACCCGGAGGGATTTCTGTTTCCTAATACTAATACCTGTTCCTGAACCTCACTCGAGACCAGTTAAATCGGAATCCTGAAATGAGACCCAAGTAACAGTATTTAAAGAGACTCTTAGTGATCCTAGCACACAGCCCAGGTGAGAACCACTGATGGGTGACTAAACCTTCTTAGGCTGAGTTAGAAGAAACTTCGGTGACAGCACTGCAAACCTACAGGCCAAGAGGGAGGAGTAAACATCTCCTCGGATTTTACAACTTACTAGGCTTATTCTTAAGCTGTAGGAAACTTAGATAGCCGCCAGTAGGTAGAGGCTTCATTAATAAATCCACCGCTCAGCCTCAGCATGATTATCAGAAACTTAGGGAGAAATAAGATGAATGTAAAATAATTTTTGATTTATTTATCAAGGCTGATACTATAAGAAAGCAAGAAAAACGATCAAAGACACCCAGATTCTGTGAAGATGCAGCCTAACAAGAAGCAGAGAAGGAATGAGACCAACGTCAGAGGCAGCTTAAAGGTTTCAAATGACTGACCCAGCTTAACATGGGGCAGGGAACATAGCAGGGGCCCTTCTGCCACCAGAGTTCAAATGGAAGTGGTGGAAGAGAGGCACGTGCCACCGCCAGACAAGCGCTGACAAGGCAGGGAGAAAAAGGCCGAGAAGGGGAAAACACACGACGAGAGACATCTGGGCTTTACGACTTTGTTCAGAAATCCTCGGAGTGGCTTCTCTACTGTACTTAATGTGTGAACACCAGCTGAAGGCAAGTGTGAGGACATCCAGAGCCCAGGGAGAAGCAGCAGGCCTGAGGGCAGATATGCAGGCAGGGGATGAAGCTCAGGGGACAGCACTGAGCTGCTGGGAGATGCGAGGTCACCTTGGAATGTCTCCCAGTTCACTCCTTACCTGAAAGAATGGAGGCTGTGCCCCTGGCAGAACTCACACTTGAGGCAGAACGTGGATGCTAGGCACTTGGGATTAAGGGGGAAATAGAGAGGATTTCAGACATGAAGTCAACACTGAGAGGCGACCTGGTGAGGAAAAGAGGGCTGCATTTTCCCATCAGCATTTTGTTTTTGTTTCTCAAGTTCATCTGATGGTCATAACTTGGCCAGGAACAGCATAGTTGCTTCTGGGTCAGGGGATGCGAAAATGAGTTTCGCTTGGAGTTCATGGCCAAGGGTGGGAGGAGGAGGTGGAGTGGACACAGATGCTCAGTGCCTGGACGGAAGGACAGCCAGGAGGAGCTCTGGGGAAGCACAAAGGAGAGAGAATAAATCTCCACAAGTGGGATTTGGGGGCAGGGTGTGTGTTAGTGGAGGGGTAACAGCAGAGGCTGCCCAGAAAAGGGGAAGTCGAATATTTCTCCATTAGTTGAGAATTTCTGATTGCTTAGACTTGACCTTGGAGCC